GATACATATTTTGATACATAAGATATTTATGCACATATTTGTAGGTGGTTTAAGCTTAAACAACACTTCATTTCCTTCCATATATTTAGATCAACATGTAAGTGCTCATTAAACCAAATGTTTTAATATTAAATAAATCAGGCAGGTTTATTACAATCGTTTGTAAAAATGTTAACATGCAAATGAAAGATGGTTTGCTGCAGTGCGGGTCTCGTCCTACACACTGGCCTTCAAACTAAACCAAAATATAATGCTTGACCAAACTAATCGGCTTTATATAAATTTCTACCTCCATACCAAAAACAACAAACTTCACTATAAGTTAACAAGCGTTCTACAAAATCAACCACACTCAACCACTGATAGACCCAGACTGTCAAAAATACTAATTTATGTGCGGGTGAAACCAGCCCGTGAAAGTGTGAAAGCGTATATAAGAGCCCATGATCTAAAAACGATTCATACGGTTTCGTCCCGCATTGGAAGTTTAGGTTCGTGCGGGTGATTTTTCAACCCGGACAGAGGTTTAGGTCTGTCCGGGTCAAGCCGCACTGGTGTGAAAGCTCCCATATGATTCAATAGTCTCAAACAGCTTCGTCCGGTGCGGGACGGTCCCGCACCGCGCTGGTGTGAAAGAAGGCTTAGCCATCAAAATTTTCATACGTATTGTCTTGTTAGAATTTATAGCATAATAGCATATTATTGTAAATGGTTGTTACCGTCAAATAAATAAATAAATAAATACTGCTTCAAACACAATCATTATCTAACATATAAATAAATACGTAGTCTACGGGCGGCCATTTATAAAGTCCGTACCTACAGCTTTTATATACTTAATATTTTTATGAAGGACTGCAGTTAGCATGCTTCTGATAATACGATATGCAAGTTAATTAAGTTTAGTTTTGAGACACTTTTCTGCTCATTGAGGCTAATTATGTGTAATGCATCATATTTTCTCAAATTGAAGCAATCAAATATAATCACCATTGACTAATTACTGAACATTTGACCCGGTCGAAGGTTTGTCGTCAACGAGGATGGCGTGGAATCCGCGTGTTGACGGTTGTGTTGTGTGTGTGTACGTGCGTCGTTACAGAGAGTAACACAGCAGTCAGCGGGAATGTGTTTATCCCATCAACAAACATGGCGTCCGACGAATTATTGTTTTTATGGCTCGGGTAACGACGATGAATTGATGTGACGGCCGTGTGTGTTGCCGATACAACCATCGCCGCGCAACATATGACAACAATCACATCTATCCTTTGTATAACATTGTTGTGGCAAAACAATAATAAGATCACTATATTTATGTACCTTAGTTATATCATTGGCTATTGTATTAATAGTCAAAGGTTGTATACTAACCCTTTGTGTAAGCTAACACGGGATATGAATAATTGGAGGAATTTATATGAAATCTTATTGTACAGAATTAATTACTGAAAATTAATATATCTGCTGTAGTGTAAAAGTAGTTACTATTAAATATACTATTAAACTTGTCATTTGATTTGCTGTGATTTGACATGTATTTACCACCGTCATAGCGATAGCTTCATACATGACGTGTGTGCAACTCGGCATTCCTGAGAAATCCTTGACATGACAAGCCTCTGACTTCCTTTTCCATCCGAGTATGCTTGTCCTCGCTCGCTGAGACAGCTAAAGTATATCGATAATTATGTTTCGATGTTGACCAATCATCAGTAATTTAAAAAGTTTCAAAAGGGAAAGTAAAAGAGTTTCAAAGAAAAAACTTTACCTATGACATTTTTTATTTATGTTTTTATTTTATATATTTACTTTTTTGGTAACTTGTTTACGTCTTTGGTGTATCTTATCCTCCAAACTAACCGTCAATAATGTATTACTAGGGAACCGTGGGCAAATTGCACTTTGTATAGCATTCTATTCCGAGGCAAAACGAAAATGAAATACCCTTTTACTTTTCTAAGATTTTATTTTTTTGAGTTTGAGACAGTTATTAGAATAATAAAACTACTAATTTATAATGAATTATTGTTGATTTTTGACCTACAACATAAAGAGTGATTTACCTATCCCAATTAGGTTAAGTAGCATATTTCTACTATCCCAATGCAATTTCAGAAATTGAATCTACCGGGTAAGAGAGTTTTGAACAAGTAATCAATAAGAAAGTATAATTCAATCCATTTTCATAAACTGTTTTGTTTTGTTTATAAATCTGTCTATGGTTAAACATTCAACCGGAGGATTAGCTGTTCACATTTAAATTCACATCTAACCTGGATAAATAAAATTGGTGAGTATTACTGAATCTATTGAAAAGCAATCGCTAAGGGGGCGAAGGCCTAATACTTGACTCCGCTAGGCTAGACCATAAGCTGTAAAATGACACATCTCAATCGTAACATCGGTTGAGTGACGGCTGTAAAGGCCAAAGGGATGTAACGATGAAAATTCTTATTGTATTAATACAATGTATATATAATATATTAAGTAAATAGATAATAGATTGGCCTGGATAGATTGGTTATCCATGTTGTAACATTTTTGTTACACTACATCCTATACTTGAGTTGAATGATGATTGTAGCTGTTAGTGTGTAGTACAGATGCCAGTAGAGTGGTGATCAGTGATCTGCATATGATCGATAGCGCAGGCCTGGACACTGTGATAATGTCATGCCGTCATGGTGTAGTGTGATGCATGACTATTGCTGCACTATCATTGCTTATTTATCAGCTCCATGCAGCCTAATTAAATTCACAATTTCCACAGTATTTGTTATTCAATTTGCAACTCCGCTCCTCGCCCCCACAACTACATGTCGCTGCCAGAGTGGATGTTAAATAGACCAATCGTAATGAAATCTAGTTTTGTATAATTTATTCCAGTTTGTCTATGACGTATGGCCTATTTGACACATACCAGTTTGAATGATATTTTGTTGGAATTTCCGTATGGAGATTTCTAAAACCAAGTATCACCCTTGTTGGTTATTGAAAGACTACGGGTTTGTTTGTAATTAATTGTGTGCTACAATCAAATTTGATAACGCAATACTTTTATATACCCAATAAAACTGAACAAAGAAGTATATAAATTTAGTGTTATAAATGTGTAACAACTTTGATGGTAGTTAGTAGTTCTAAATAAATTAAACGTAGTTTTCTCTTGCTAAACGTAGCCTGTATCCTATCCTATACTCTAAAGCAAGCGCGTGTACGGACAAACTTTTATTTTCGTGCGATGATTTAACATTTTTTCAATGTGGGGTATTTGGCCACGTTAAATCGATTGGAGTTGGTCACAAAGCTGGGAAAATCCAAGAAGCTACAATCGATCGTCGGGAAAGAAAGGTTTTACCACTTCGTCTACAACTGACCCAGTTCTAACCAGCTCATTCGACTCACCAAATGTCTCAGAACCTCGGCCAAGTCGCGCATCGAAGAATGAAGTTAGAGTACAGTAATAGTTGCAGATCTTATAGTCGAGCAATACAACGAACAACAAGCCAACCATCTTGAGCAGGAACGTCGACGAATCGCTGGCTCGATGTTTGACATTGACCAAAGACTGCTCTCAGAATGTACTTATTATTTTTTTTTAGCAAGGCTCGGTCCCCAGGTACTATAATACAAAACCTAATAGGTATATTGGTATTATTAAAACCAGTCAAGAAATATTGTAACACAATAAAATGTCCTTGACATCAGTTCATGAGTTCGTCATTGATGTAATAGTCAACAGCCAATTTTAATATTTAGCCCAATGGAAGTCAATAATAAATTTAAACTATTGACTTTTTCATAATTTTTTTAAGTATAATTAAAAATTCTTTTAGTCAAAAACGCGTTAAGCTTTTACTGGTGTGAACCGATAAAAAGATCAAGAATTATTCTTTGCAAATACACATACAGTATAAAAGAGGAGTTTAAATGTGTTTTAACGGACCTATCTGTTGTATGAATCTAAAATTGGGCATGAGAGACACTAGACTGAACAAAAATGTGAGCCATAATTCCATAAGCTATAAAAAATCTGTACCTAATTTAAACATTTTAAACACTTCAAAACCCATGTACAAGTGTAACGAGCGCTGGGGACAGTGCAGATACTAGCTACCGCAGCGTCTCGTCGTCAGGGCCACCGATATACTGACGGTGTTTATTTTGAGATTCAATTTAAAGTTGGTGTTGACGCAACATTAAAAGTTTCACAAGAGGTCAGCGCTAATGTATGGACTGCTAACAAATCCTCTCTGGTTTACAGCATTGGGTAAGTATACGACGCCCTAAACATCACCATTCACCTCACGGTCCCGCCGCAGCTGCCGTATCAGTTGTACCAGACCTAGTCTTATATAGAATGTGTCTCAATACTGTGTGAATCATTCCTACCGAAATCACCAATGTTGAATTACCGACGCAACTGAGAGGTTGAGAGCTCGCCATCGAAATGCGAGGATTGCTAGTTCTATTCCCGAGTAGAGCGGGTCTTAAAGAACAACGACGTTTAGTAGTAAGAGGGCAAGGGTATGGACCGTTCCCTTTAAAAACATAAATAACGCCATTGGCGTCACAAAAACAAAATTAATACACCTTTGGAAAAATTACATTGGTAATACAAATTTTAGAAAAAAAATTATATTTTTACACGTATTTTTTGTTGGAATTTATTTATAATCTTGTTCCTCATTGCCTTCTTGGTACTAAGTTAGAAGCAGCTGTCATGTGTTAATTATATGCCATGTGATTGCTATGTTTATTAATTTGTTGTAAATAAACATCACTTCCACTATGGACTTTAGAAACCATACTGTGTAGTCATTTTACTCCTATTATTATAAAGGAAAATCAATTATAAACAAGTGGTTATGGGCCCAGTTTCACTTCTACTGTAACATGTTCTCTGTGGCCTATTTTGAACAGTTTAATTTTTGAAGAGAAGTGTTTAAGAAATATTATAGTAAATTTCATTGGATGAACACTTATTAATTACTATGATGGGAGACAAAAAAGTTATATACTCCACATCAGCCCCTGGAATTTCTAAGTTGAAAGGGTCAGCCAACTATGCCAGTTGGAAATTTGACATGAAGATGGCTCTAAAGTATGAGGGATTGTGGAATTGCATTGAACCACGAAATAATAACACAGAGACGACACCACTAACTGTTGATCCAGACAAAGATGAGAGGGCACATACCAAGATTGCCATGCACCTGGAGGCAGCTCCAAAACTACATATCAGGACGGCCATATCAGCGAAGGAAGCATGGGACATTTTAGCAAAGCAGTATGAAGTCAAGAGCACAAACAGGAGAATATTTCTGCTGGACCAGCTTTTAGATTTGAAGTTGGAAGTATGCAACAGCATGAGTGAGTATATTTCTAAATTTCTTGATCTCAATGCTCAACTTGCTGACATAGAGAAACCCGTAGACGATGAAATGAAGGCGTGTCTACTTCTAAGAGGTTTGCCTGAGTCTTACAGGGCATTTAGGATGGCAGTCGAGAGTACAGATAAAGTAGAATATGGTAAAGTACTAGAAAAATTAAATAGCATGGCTGAAAAGGATACCACTGAGTCCTCTGTAGTATTTTCAACTTTTAAAAGCAGTACTGGGAAGCCTTTCCTATCAAAATCAAATACTAATCAAGCTAGGCCTAATTTTAATAAAAGCTCAAAGACAAGGAAGCCTTTTATTCCTACTTGTTACAAATGTAGAAAGGCAGGCCATATGATAAGGGATTGTCCTGAAGATAATGAAGCTAATATTAGTAATAGCTCAAAGATAGGGTCATTTTCCAAAATTGGTAAGTCAGATGGTGAAAACAAAAATAAAAATGTGAGTTGGATAACTGCTCTGACTGTAAAGGTAGAACCTGAAAGCTGGTACTTAGACTCGTGTTGTTCTGACAATCTTTCTAAAAGTAAAGAAAGTTTTCAAACGTTTAACTCGAATGAGGGAGTTAAAGAGGTCACTGTCGCTAATAATACCAAAATTTACTCTGCGGGTTCTGGGAAAGTTTCTGTGAACCTTAAAAACTTTGGTGAGAGAGTGATATCGATTGTGACGTATGTACCAGATTTGTCTTCAAATTTGCTATCTGTGAGCAAAATAGCTAGTAAAGGGCAAGTTTTAGTTTTTGATGACAAAGGGTGTAATATTTACATAAAAGATGGGTTTTCAGTAAGAGGTGAAATTTGTGGAACTGGAACAAATGTAAACGGACTGTATCGGTTGGATACAGAGAGTAAATGCAACATTGATCCAAATGATGGAAGTGTAGCTATGTCTACTCAAGTTGACCAGTCAGTTAGTGTGGACCTTCACAATTTGTGGCACAGAAGGTTGGGTCACTTGAATCATGTTAGTATGGGTATTTTGAAAAAGGGGATTGCTTTGGGTATCGATTTTCCTAATCAGAGGCCAGAATCTTGCATTCCCTGTGTAGAGGGGAAACACTCCAGAGAATCTTTTCCAACCACTCCAAGTAAGAGAGCTGAGGCAAAACTAGAGTTAATCCATATGGATGTCTGTGGGCCTATGAATGTTCAGTCTCTTCAAGGTAATCGCTTCATGCTAATATTTATTGATGACGTCACCAGAATGACCTTTGGTTATTTCTTGAAATCAAAGGATGAAGTAGTTGATTGTTTTCTCAAGTTTAAGACTTTAGTTGAAAATCAGACCAACCAGACTGTAAAAACTGTTAGGTCAGATGAAGGCGGGGATTACATGAATGCGAGACTAGAAGAAGTGTGTAATAGATTTGGAATAAGGCACCAGGTCACTACTCGATACAGTCCTGAGCAGAATGGGGTAGCAGAGCGTGCAAATAGAACTATTATTGAAAAGGCTAGAAGCATGCTAAGTGACTCAAATTTGAGCAAGGGTTACTGGCAGTATGCTGTGGAGGCAGCTATTTATGTTAAGAACCGAAGTCCTACAAAAGCTGTTTTTGGAGTCACTCCACAGGAGAAATGGACTGGATCGAAAGTGGACCTCAGTCACCTTAGAGTTTTCGGGTGCATAGGCTATGTGCATGTGCCTAAGGAGAGAATGACCAAATTGGACTATAAGAGTGTTCCTCACATTTTTGTAGGTTACAGTGAGGATGTCAAAGGTTACAAATTGGTCGATCCTAAGTCTCCCTGTAGATTGATTTATTCTAGAGATGTAAAGTTTTTTGAAAACTTATTTTATAATGGGCGTGAAGAAAATAATGGTGATGAAACTATACAACCAGTCGAGACCATAGTAAGCATCCAGACCGCCAAACTCGATGAACCTTGCAGGAATCCTGAGGCAGAAGAGGAGAGCTTCATTCTTGATAATATCGACATTGAGCAAGATGGTGACGATGTTGGAACTGGAGGATCCGCTGAAGGGGATTCGGGAAATGATGAGGAAGGTGTTGAAATTAATGTTGGGAGTAGGTACCCTCTAAGAGTAAGAAAACCTAAAATGTTTCCTGATTTTGTTACCTACATGGTTACCTGTGAGGATCTAGAGCCAAGTAGTTATCAAGAGGCAATAGAAGATCCGAATAAGAATTTGTGGAAGCATGCTGTGGAGGAGCAAGCTGATGAAGAACCTCTACATGGTTTTGTTGATGCCAGTCATGGAAACAACTTTGATGGGAAAAGTTGTACGGGATATGTTTTTAAACTGAGTGAAGGACCTGTGTCTTGGGGAAGTAAGAAACAGGGATGTATGACTGATTCCTCAACAGAGTCAGAGTTTGTAGCAATGGTTCAGGAAGCAATGTTTCTGAAGCACTTGTTGGAAGAGCTGGGAATATTTCTTGAGCATGTAAATTTGCATTGTGACAACATGCCAGCAATGAAGATTTTGCAGAAGAGAACCGTGAATGACAAGACCAAACATATAATTCATAAACAGTTATTTGTCAGAGACATAATCAAGAGAAAACTAGTTGTGCTGAATTACGTTCCAACTTCCAGGATGGTAGCGGACATTTTGACAAAATCACTTGGCAACATCAAGCGTGATGATTTTATGACAGACCTTGGTCTTACCCCAATGAAGGATCAAGATTAAGGAGGGGTGTTGGAATTTATTTATAATCTTGTTCCTCATTGCCTTCTTGGTACTAAGTTAGAAGCAGCTGTCATGTGTTAATTATATGCCATGTGATTGCTATGTTTATTAATTTGTTGTAAATAAACATCACTTCCACTATGGACTTTAGAAACCATACTGTGTAGTCATTTTACTCCTATTATTATAAAGGAAAATCAATTATAAACAAGTTTTTTTACGTTGAAGATTATTTAAACAGGTTTATGTATTGTTAGGTTTTAAATACAGTACACTGTTTTTAATTAATTGTTTTGATTATTATACGATATGGTTATGTAAATATTAATAGTTATTCGATTTATGTTGATTTATGAGTTAACAATTTACAGTATTATACATGAGATACAGAAGATTGTTGTATCTAAAGTAGTGGCACAGTATTGACATTGTATGTAGGCTAAGACATGGTATAATCTGTATGGTATGTGTTGGAAATTTATATTTAAGTTTTTAAAAGACACAACATTATAAAGATATGTTCTCGTTACTGAATTTCCTAAGTTGTGTTTGTTTGTTGTAATGTCTAGTTTTCATCTTGTAGCAAGATAATCATACAAAAGAGAATCAATCGTATTCAGACTAAGTAGGCCTAAAAGCCTTGAAAATATAAGTTCAGAAGGAATACATTTTAATATTAAAAATATTTTTCTATTAGGCTAGACAAATTAAACTATTACATCCTAAATTTACTATTCTATAGAATAATCTTGGGATCCTTTCAGTCGTGTAGAATTGTAAGTGGTGTGATATTGTACATTCTAAGCCCGCGAACGTTTACAAAACAAAACAAATGGAGTTGTTGATTAAATAATTTATATACAATTGTAATGAGCAGGCGACGACATGCATACAATTGTTATTTACTCAATGAGAGTCAAAGGTACCAAGATGAAGAGTGTACAGTGATTTGTGTGATCTGAGAAGGACCCCCGGGTAGCTATTGAGTACCACAGTAGGCCTACCACCTGCACAGCGCCAATGGGGCGGAACACTGCGGTCCGTGGACTATACCAGACCGTTCAACCGGAATCATTCGATGGGATTAACAGCATCACATGCATCTGTGCGAGTCAAGACCGCTCAAAGCGACTGGTGTTGATTTTACTCATTCTCTCACAGAAATGTGGATTTTGGATCTTTGAGGAGTGATAATTCGCGCTTCCTTTGCGAATGTCAAATGCCGTCGGCGATGTCATCGCCTGTGATTGGCTGGCGATGAGCAATTTGGATCAATCGGTACATTCAGTGACAGGGAGGGAAGTTCAGGTTACACTTTGCATCCAACAGATCCACTGACACAATTACAGGCTCGGACCTGCTCAAAGTAATTAGGAATGTCTTTGTACATTATGGAATGCGCACGGTATGTCAAGCTAAATATAAAATATTTGTACGAAAAACTATTTACTATTTAAATACTTTGTGTAAATCTTATTGTTAGGCTAGTTGACAGTTAAATTTATATTATATTGGCTAATAATGCCAGTAAGGAATCAAAAGTAAAAAAGTACTTTAGAGGAAATAATTTATTTGATTAGATTAGGTTAGTTAAGAAAGCAATAAAAGAACGTAAAAGTCTAAAAAAGTTCTACAACAGCGTATTTGATACTTTACCTGTACAGTAGTTCCAACGGCTTTTCTAAAGAATGACCAAGCAAAGTATTTAATGCACTTCGACTGATTCGTTATAGGCAATGTATAGAAAGTCTAATCGTTATATAGAATGCCTGATTGTATACTTTGCTGGTATACACAAAATCGCGATCAAGGATAGTGTTTTACAACGGCTTTCATACAAACGATTTGACCATTTTATTTTATGATGGGTTTCTTATACATATGATTGTGCAATTTGTTTTAGAATTGCCTATATTCGAACAAGAAAATTGAATTGAAAATTGACGAAAATTTAAGGAAAATTGAAAATTGAATGTTTTGAAGTTAGATATTTACTAGAGTCAATTTAATTATTATTGAATTGTTCTCCAGATTATCATTGTATACCTTCTCCAGTATCCTACGTATGCAGTGACGTTGACAAGCCGCTACTGTATTTCCTTGTTTACCTTTTATTTTATTCTGCAATGGTGAACAAAATGCTAGCTAAGCAGAATGTATCATGTAAAAATATACCTTTTTAAAATGTAAAATTTATTCAAATTATTTGAAAAAAGATTAGTTTATGCATATTGTACATACTATTTTAAATAGTATATTCACAAACAATTCCCTAGTGCCATGTATAGCACAACGACAGGGCCCTTCCCTCAAAATCTGATGGTCCGTAAGTTAATTAATGCAACCATAAATAAATTAGCTGGCCTCTTGACCACTTTGTAGATCAACTAACCACCTAATCAATTATTTCTCTAAGCTCTTCGCCCAGAGCAATTATTTTGACGTGATCCCTAGAGGTTTTATTTTTGTTTTCCCAATAAAGCAGTGCCGCTGGAGCAGGATGGGGGGGGGCAACTGGCAGGCGGAGCTCTTGACTCTACCACTTAATACCCCCATTGTTCTGCTCTTGAGTTCACAATGGCCAAGTCTATGTTTTTAAGCTTCCATATCGTGCAATCAAAGCGCGCGTTGAACGGACAGGTTTGAGGGGTATCATTGTCCTTTCTACATCTGGCCGCTCTCCGCTCTCGTACATGCTGGACACCTCTCTCTACCTTCTCCGTTTGGTAATCAATCATTTCATATTATAAACAATTGTGGTTTTATCACTTCGTTTTATTAAAACTAAATTCCTATCGTCGTAGCCTACATCTATTTGAAAATATTAAGTCGGCCCAAAGTCTGTTAGATGACTTGTGGTAATAACTTTGGGTTATTGAATGCAATAGTTTTTTCTTCAAATGTTAGTTTTTTAATGATATTAAAAGAAATATGATTGATCAAAGAAATGTGGATAATCTCATAAACCTTCCACATATTTTGAAAAATGATCTTTTTTCCTTGAAACAGAGGACACAATTTCCTTTGATATATATTTCTTAGTTACGTAAAATTCATACACAAAACTTGCCCCCCTTTCCACCCGCTTAATATTAGTATATGATAAAACTAGCACAACAACGATATCTAAATTCAAGTCGTCACGTTCAAAACAGCCACAACTGAAGCGTCATATTATTGGAGGTATATCCATCTAAACGGATGTGGCGTGTTATAAACGTTACGCGAGATCTTGAGAAAGTGTTGTGATGTAGGCTACACAGGAGTGGTGGAGGTCACCACACGATGCTGTCATCTGTG